TCCGTGATTTTTTAAAATCTTCTCTATTTTCTTTCCCATGTTTTCTCCACAATTTATTTTTCTTTCATCCTCATTTTGTTCACATGTGTTCACTGTCCATAATATTTCTTCACAAAATTCTGGATTCTTGTCCATTATTGCCATTTCTTCTTTTGTTTTCTTTCTATCTTCTAATTCCCTTTGGTATTCCGAGCACCATGTTTCTATTCCTTTCATTTCTCTGATGATTACTTCCTTTCTTCCTGCTTCCTTTCTGTTTTATCGTCGATTGCCAACAATTCTTCTGTCCCTTCTATTTCCTGTCTTTCTCTTGTCTCCATCTTGTTTTTCTGCTTTCTTTTCAAACTCTTCTTCTTTTTCTTCCTTCTCCTTTTCTCTTCTGTTTGATTTTTTTCTTGTACTTTTGGTTTATCCTCTACAGTCATATTGATTTCTTTACGTTTTTCCTGTGCATTGATCCTTTCAGAATTTGTTTTCCTATCTGTTTGCTTTTCTTCGTCTGTGTTGTCTGGTTCTGCTCTGATTTCCAGTTTATTTTCCGAAAAATTTATGGTGATATGTTTTTCCCCTCAATTCATCAATTCCCGCTATCATATCATGATTTAAATCTTCAATCACCACACATTTCATAATATGGAATTTGTCTCCCACTCTGATCCGTACTCCCAAACCTTCGTTTACTGTCGTCAAATTTTTATTGTTTGCACCCACTAAATCAACCCTAGGAATCTTATACACAAATCTGTCCAAATTTAATTCTTTTACTAGTTTTTTATTGATTAGCGATATCTCCGATCCAGAATCAATCACAATTTTAATCGCTTTATGTTTTATAAATGCATCTAAAAATATTAGATTAGAATTAGAAATTTGTCTTTCGTTTCCTATTGCTACATGATTCATCACCCTTCTATTTTGTTGTTGGAAGCTCTGGTTATTTCTATCGTCCCTTTGTTCGTTAGTATTCCTATTCGGAGGATTTTGTGCATCTCTATTCCTGTTGTGATTTTCATATGTTCTATGTTGTGTGTCATTCCTGTTATCGTAATTTTGTTGTCTATTGTAATTATTGTAATTTCTCGGCCTATATTCGTTTGTTGATCTGGGATGTCGGTTTCTCTGGTCATAATTTGATGAATACCTTCTTTCCGGTTTATTATATTGGTCATGTTGTCTTCTATTTCTTATTTCTTTTCTTTTCGCTTCTTTTAATTGAAGGAATTGGCACAAACTATCAATATCTTGATAGTTTCTCAAAGCCACGTGATCTTCCAACGTTTCCTCAAAATGTCTGCTGATCATTTCTACCAGCTGTTCGGTAGAATATTTGTATTCTAGATATTTTGAATTGTTATATATCTGCAAAGCATATCTTTCTTCAGATATTCCCATTTTTTCGTGATATTGTCCATTCTGTAGCTCTTGGTTGATTTCTCTCTGTTTATTTTTCCCCCAGAAATAGTTGAGAAATTTATTTTCAAAATCTGTCCAATTTTCAAACTCATCTTCCTTGCTTTCATACCATAACGCTGCTCCTTCTTTCAAATGGTTTCTAATTGTTTCTTTGCAATCGTCAAAATATCTAATATGTTGTAATTTGGTTTTCAAATTTTTAACAAACGGTACTGGGTGTGTTTTCCGAATATCCCCGCCAAATTGTATTTTCGCCTCGCTTGTTCCATGGATGATAACTTCTTTTCTCTCTACTCCTCTTAGTTCAATTTCTGCCATTTGTTTTTTATTTCGCTTTAATCTCCTTTCTACTTCTTTCCTGTCTTCTTGTAGCGCCATTTCAAATTTTTCTTCTAACTGTTCTAATTCCTTTTTCTGGACATCTTTCATTTGAAGTTTCATTTCTTTAATTTCTGTCTTCACTTTCGCATTTTCCTGTACAATTACTTCTATTTTCTGTACCATATCTTCCTTGATACTTTCAATCTTTTTGTTGTTTTCTTCTATTGCCTGTTTAGTTGCCTTCTGGTTTTCTTCCAGTCTGCGGTTATTTTCATCAATTTTTTGCTTTGTCTCTTCTTGGTTTCTATCCATTTTTTGTGATGTTTCTTTTTGGTTTTTCTCTATTGTCTCTTCCATTTTCTTTGCTGTTTCTCTTTGATTCTCTTGTATTTGTTGTGTCTGTATTTGCATCATTGCTAATAATTTTTCTAACATCCCTGTTTCTTTTCTTTCCTCTATTATTGTAACATTTCCTTCATTATCCGATCCTTCTTCAAAAATTGTTTCCTCTTCTCTGTTATCCTTCTTCCTTTCTTGCATTTTGCTTTGACTCTATATATATATATATATATATATATATATATATATATATATATATAAATATATATATATATAAATATATATATATATATATAAATATATATATATATATATATATATATATATATATATATATATATATATATATATATGTTAGTTTTGATATTTCCGCGGGAGCTGTATGTTATATCAATGGTATTCCGGGTTTGACTCCGCGTTAAATGTTGTTGGTTTTGATAAAAACCATTTTGACGACGTTTCGGCAAGATCTCACTTGCCATTTTCAAGTCTCTCTGGATGGTCTACTTCTTGTCGATGTTCGAGTGGAAGTGACGCTACGGGTGTTAGGCAGCTGGCTTTTGTAGTTACTGTGTGTTGCGCGCGCTCTTGTAATTGGTCCAGTGCGCAGGTCAGTGGGCGGGGTCTTGGTCGATTCCGTTCTTGCGTTATTCTTCGGATAATTGGTTTCCATGTTTTTGGCAATCTTTGGGCATCGTCTCGAGAATTTAAATTATTTTCTTGTTTTTCTATTTCTATTCAATGGCTTCTCTGATAATTCGTTTCCTCTTGTTTTCGACATTCGCTAACATTACCGTATGTTTGAGGTCAATTTTGTGTCCTGTAGCTAAAGAATGCTGGGCTAGGGATGACGTCGTTTCTTTTCGTTCGATGGCATTGCGATGTTCTTCTTGTCTTACTTGGATCCTTCTATTTGTCTGTCCAATATAGGCTCTATCGCATTCTCCACAGGGAATTTTGTATACTCCTTGGTTTTCTAGGGGAATCTTTGTCTTGGCAGATGTAATATGTTTGCGATTTTCCTGTCGGTGTTGAAGACAGTCTCTATTTTGTGTTTTCTCAGGACCCTGCTTATCTTCTCTGTTGTGCCTTTAATATACGGTAGAGTGGTGTTGGCAATCGGTTTTTCGTCTTCTTTATTCTTTTTGTTGTTTTTTTGTGTCTTCGTGCCTTTTCGATTCTGTGTGTGGAAAAGCCGTTGTTTTTTAACGCTTTTGTAACTTTCTGCATTTCTTCTTTCTTGTGTTCTTCGTCTGTTAGTCGTTCAGATCTTATAGTCAGAGTTTTTATGACTGAATTCAATTGTGCAGGATGGTGGTGTGAATCTGCATGTAGGTATCTGTCCCCATGTATTGATGGGGACGTTGGTGAAAAGTGAAACAACATCGAAACTTACTAACAAGTGTCCCGGCCCAAGAGTAACATCTTTTATACGCTCGATGAAGTGGCCTGCATTCTTAACGTAGGAATCAGCTTCTTCTGCGTAAGGCTGTAGCTTTTCAGCCAGGAACCTTGCCAGTGGTTGTAACGGTGATCCGATGGAGCTCACTATTGGTCGTAGTGGTAATCCATCCTTGTGAACTTTTGGTAGACCGTACAGTTTTGGACATCTCGATGATTTTTCCCGTGGAATAAGTTGAAAATGATGTTCTTTATTAATATTAGATGTTTGTATTTTTGCTTTTGTCGTTTTTTCTAGATATGTTGTCGGGTCAGTCGATATCTTCTCGTATGATGGATCGTCTAGAATATCTTTCATCTTTTGATCGTAGTCTATGACATTCATAACCACCGTAGCATTGCCTTTATCAGCTGGAAGTACAATGATTTCTTTATTTTTGCGAAGTGAATTTAATGCCCCTTTTTCCTCGTGTGTTAAGTTTCGTTTTGGCGGTTTAGCTGTTCGTAATATGCGTGACACGTCTTGGCGTATAGTCCCGGCCGTGTCGGATGACACGGCCGAGACTATACGCCAATATATATAAATATATATATATATATATATATATATATATATATATATATATATATATAATATATATATATATATAAATTGACATCACACATTTAATAAAGTTTTAAAGTTACAACGTACTCTTCAAGTACCCTAAAAGGTATGCATATAGTCAAAGTTTATAAAAATATTATGAATTTAAAAATGCTTACCTTGATTCATCTGATGGAAAATGGTAAAACCCGTAAGTACAATTTGCGTAACTGTTTTTACAGTTCACTGCCGCACATCTTGATTTGCTTTTCTTTTTATTCAGTATATCCATATTTACGATTGCACAAAATCTAATTATTAACGAAACAAATATGATCTGACAACAACAACCCCAAAATGATCGTGTCAACGACGTGATTGTTAACTTAAAATATGGCCGCTGACAATGCGCGAACAATTCCCTCCATATCGATAAATCTCCAAAACGCAAACTGTGTTTAGAATTCTCGCAAATCCTAAGCGGTCTGTACGATGATCTTCGGTCAGAAGAGAGTCCGTGGCAGGTGGATAGCTAGTCAAAATTTTGTTCCCACAATCTTAGTACAATCTCTAAGGAAACTACTGCACCATGAACATTTGCCAATCTTCTAGCCAGCACTATAGAAATAAGTATCTACACAAATGCTGACGATGTGGTGGTATGATGAAGCCTAAACATTTTTTTATGCCTATATTTGAAAAAATATTGTAAGCAAATCTGCAATGCATTACACTGCACGAAATATTTCTTAAAATGCACTTTTTTATTTTAAGGTTTTTTTTTTCCGATTTTTCTTTTTTTCTGTAATTTATGTAGTTTTTTCAACTTAGGTCGAAGTCCTTAAAAAATAGCGCATTTTCTACCACAGTTTCATTGGTGTATATGATTAAAAATTATTTTTTGTTTAAATATTATATTTATATGGGATTTTTTTGTTAGGTTCCACAATTTTTATATGAAGCTGGATTTGCTCTCGATAAACAAATAGGTGTTACGGAACCCAGAAGAGTAGCTGCGATTTCTATGTCAAATCGAATTGCACACGAGATGAATTTAAGTACAAAAGAAGTCAGTTATCTAATCAGATTTGAGGGGAATGTGACTGATGATACGAAAATCAAGTTTATGACTGACGGTGTGTTATTAAAAGAAATTCAAAGTGATTTCTTGCTTAGTAAATACTCTGTCGTGATTTTAGACGAAGCTCATGAGAGGTATTTATATTTATACTAAACGCTAATTTCAGTTTAATCAATCTGAATCGATCATATGCGCAATATCCTAATCGAAGGAAACAGGAATTATTTAATCACATTATATCATTTGTGATAGTTTATTTTTTTCTTATCCCACTTCAGATCTTCTGTGACTACATTTGTCCATATTTTTTCTAGGCCTGTCCATTATGGGCCTTTATGTATTTCACTAGATTTTCCTATGCGACGAGAGTATCTACATCTTTCATTGTTGTATCTGTCACGTTTTCATTTAATCTCTACAAGGGTCATATATACATATATATATATATATATATATATATATATATATATATATATATATATATATATATATATATATATAATTATCTATTTTGCGTTTGCAAAACACATTTACTATTAAAAGTTAATATTGTTGGCTCTTACATTTGTTTTTGTAGATCAGTGTATACAGATATATTAATTGGTCTGCTTTCCCGAATAGTCCCTTTAAGACACAAGAGAAATGACCCTCTTAAACTGATTATAATGTCTGCTACTCTACGTTTGGAGGATTTCACAGAAAACCAACGCCTATTTAAAAATCCACCACCGGTTATAAAAGTAGAAGCCAGACAATTTCCAGTGACCTGCCATTTCAATAAAAGGACCAATGAAAATTATTTAAAAGAGGCTTTTATTAAAGCTGTGAAAATTAATACAAAACTACCGGATGGAGGAATTTTGATATTTGTTACAGGTAAGTATTTTTACACTGCTTTTTACTTAGTTTCATAACTATCATTTTATTAGCAGTTTTTTATAAAGAATAATTTTTATCGGCGTCATTTTTTAATTTTCTTTTTTTGTTGTTGGTGGCACAGATGATCATAACCTTATGATCATTTGTGGTGGAGGTTGGTAATTTAACTCGGACCATTGATGATACTATAAACCATCAGATACCATAAATTCTCTATTATAGTATTAAAATGATAATATGTATATATATATATATATATATATATATATATATATATATATATATATATATATATTGATTTTTACAAGCATTGAAATATACTGATGTATATATATATAATATATATATATATATATATTATATATATATATATATATATATATATGTATTATTCTATATAGTCAAATTCAAATCTAGTGGCGGAAAATTCTAAAAAAGTTGTATAGTGTACACATTAGAATAACTGCAAATTGAAAATTACCTGTAGGAAGGACCTGTAGTTGTATCAGATTGGTTGCCTTTAGTCTCCTTCTGACTGTCCAAATGCTCGTCAATTCTCTATTTCTCGGGGATTTCGATACAAGAAATCGATAATCTCTCTCCGGTGTTATTCACCAGTATCTTGATACCGACGATTGACTCGGGACACAGCTGAGTGGCTTAAATTTACTCAAATTGCCGTGACCCTCTGGCTGAGGTCTTCTCTCAATAATGCTACTTCTTGAGCTGCTCTGTCGAATGTTGTATCCATTTGTAATGCATTTGCGAACTTCGTATGACTGATGTATTAGTGAATGAGTATGTAATTTGATGTATACGATGTTAACCGAAACAAGTCGGTGCGTGTCGATTTCAATTAGTCATATTCTTACCCCCTCTCTACGTGCTGCTTCTTTATTTGTACTACGTCATCCTATTCACCCAAACACAAAACTTTTTTAAAGTTCAATCATGAGGGTTATGATTGTATACTAAATATTTTTAAATTTACACTTTTTAGATTGAAACACGAGATGTACTTTCGCAAAATAATTTTGAGTCTATTATTTTGCACTTAAACGTATAATAAAAATGTTTTTTTAGAGAACGTCAGAAAAAATAATACCACTAAATATCTACCAAATATTCTAGGAATGATTAAATTTGAAGTTAATTTGAATTTGATTGTATATAATTATTTGAATAAAAACAACAAATATTCTGCGTGGCGAAAAACCACTTCTTAGGATTTCATGCCATTCGATCTGGTAGATATTTTAACGTTTACCAATAATTATTGTGAGTTGGCCATGATTTATTTGTCAGAAACTGACAGTTTGACAATATTGTTTATTAATTCAGTAACGAAATAACGATACAGAAAAGAAAACAATTTACTTCAAATAAAATTTATAAAAAATAACCGACGGAAAATTAAAAAAAAATAACACATAGAAAAATAAAAAACAACAGTAATTTTAACTTATCTTACTTAAGTAAGGTGTTCAAAATGACCTCCCAAAACATCTATGGATACTTGAAAGCGGTCATTGAAATAGTTGCTTACATTACTAAGCATTTGCAAAGAAATATTTTGAAATGCAATTCAGATTCTATTTTTCATATCATCCCTTGTTGTTGGAGGTATTTTATATACTTCGTTCTTAACGTAACCCCAAAAAAATGAGTCCATTTTATTGAATTCTGGTGACCTTGGGGGCCACCTTACCGGTCCATCCCTTTCGATCCATCTTTCACCAAACTGATCATTAAGTTCACCAAGTACTAATTCGTTGTGGTGCGCAGGAGCACCGTCATGTAGAAACCACATTTGAACAAGTATATTAAGTGATCTTGTAATAATATCGGTAACTGATTTATGATAATATCTAAATAAATCTCACCATTTAAGTTATCTTCAAAAAAATATGGTCCTACTACATGGTTACCGACGATACCTCCCCACACATTTAGAGACCATCTTGTTTGACTATGTGTTACTATGTGGTATGGATTATTTGTTGAATAGTAGTGAAAGTTATGCCTATTAACAGAACCGTTTCGATGAAATGTAGCTTCATCACCAAATAGGACATAATCAAAAAAGTCTATTTGCTCATAAATTTTTTCAGAGGCATTCACAAAATACTATTCGTTTCTGAAAATCATCATTATTTAATTCTTTGTGCTTTTAATATGATAGGGGTACATCTTGTTTTTAGATATAATGTTTTGAACAGAGTAGTAACTAAGTTCTTGTTCATTTGAAATACTCCTTATACTTGTGTGTGGGTTTTCTGTAACTGCCATCAACACACTCATTTCGTTTTCTTCTGTCCCACTAGTTTTTGTTCGTTCATGTTTTTCATTATTCACTGAACCAGTGCGGTTAAATCGATCTTTCAATTTTTCAAATGTATCTTGTCTAGGTTATCGCATATCTGGAAACCGTTCTTGATAAATTCTAGCTGATAGTAATGAATTTGTATTGCATTCCCCCAATATCCAAATCATATCTACCATTTCATCAGTAGTAAAATTCATTATTATCATGCTAATTTAAATTAAATTAATTACTGAATTACTAAATAATAATTGTTGCTAATTTACGATGTACCCCAATACTGAATTAATAAACAATAATGTCAAACTGTCAGTTTCTGACAAATAAATCATGGCCAACTCACAATAATTATTGGTAAGCGTTAAAATATCTACCAAATTAATATTTTGATGAAAAAATAAAAATATCTAGAAAACTTTAGGTAGAGGGAGTACTTCATAAAATTGAAGTACGATATTAGTACTTTTCGATAGTGGTATAAAATACAGGGTGTTCTATTTAAAATTACCAAGAAAATAATGTACTTGCATTTTGACTTACCCTGTATTTGATTTAACGAATATTATGAAAACGAATATGTTTTATAATTTTTAACAATTATTAAAAAACTATGGTTGCAATAGATCAATGTTCCTATACTCCTTTTTAATTATACAGGGAGTTAAACTTTATACGATTTTCAGGTAATATTGGTTATAACTTTTTAAATACCCGTATAACATAATAAAACTTTTCATTGTTGTGATGTGAAAGTGAAGCAAATATAAAATTTAAAATAAAATGCAGGGTGTTTCATTAAAAAAAAACATAAGTTTGGTCTGCCATGATCTTATGGAACACCCTGTAAGATTGTAACTAATTTTAAAATGTGGAATTTAAAGCTGCCTACAATTTTTGTCAATAACTTTTTTTGTCATTTTTACTATAACAGATCTACTGAGCTTCCTCACATTAACCAATCACCCTGTATAATAAATAAGTTTTTTTTTTGGGAAATTACTGACCGGACAAAGTAATACCAATAATAAATAACCAAATATTCTATAAAATTATCCGCCAGTAACTTTAAATTTGACTGTAACCGTGGTTACTGCAATTAATTTCATTTTAGGTCAACAAGAAGTGAATTATCTAGTGCGAAAACTTAAAAAAGCTTTTCCTTTGAGGCACAAAAATAAAATTCTTCAACAAAATGAGCAACTGAAAAAAGATGATAAAGTATTTGAATCCGAAGATGATGACTTAGGTAGGTTTACATTTATTTTTTTTATTCAAGTTATTATTTATTACATACGACTTTGAGGTAACGTTAAAAAATGAAATATTTAAGTATGGATGTTAACTCGTCGGAGATGATGAAGATTTATAAACACATAAAATCCGGTGGAACATTTTGACATCTTTATTCTGTTTTTTTTTTCGGTAAATCTAAACATTTTTGTGAAGATTTCTAACGTCAATTGTTTTACCATCCAATTAAATTACAAAATTTAATAAAAGAATTTATTTTCATAGTATATTTGGGATTATGAATAATTCGAAAAACTTGTAAACTGTCTTTGATTTTTTTCTTGATTTACAGGCAAGAAAAAAACACCGAAGAATAAAAATAAGATAAAAATTATCCCGGAAATCAATTTAAACGATTATAGTATTCCTGGCGATAACGAAAATATAGATGAAGAATTCTCAGACCTTGAGGATGACGAGGATGACAAAGTTGACGAAACAGTTATATCCAATGCCCAGCCTCTGTGGACTCTTCCCTTGTATTCATTATTATCCACCAGTCAACAACAAAAGGTGTGTACAAAGTTAATTAGTTTACTGTATTTATCTCTTAAATATAGATCTATCAGAAAACATATCAAATTCGCAGATTACACAAAAAATAAATTTCATTCAATGGAACTGCCGATCAGCAGTTTCAAATAAAGAAAACTTGGAATTCCTTCTTCATGAGAATGATGCTGCTCTTGTACGATGTTATCTAAAACATGGGTCAAAGAGGAATAGTATTATAATTTTAAAAATTACAATATTAGTCGTAAAGACCGTCCAGACGGTTACGGAGGGGTGGCCATATTAATTAAAGCAAGCATTTACTATAAAAAAATAATAATAAATACTAAAGTAAATTTTTCTCATAAATGTATTGCTATTAATCTATTAGCTAATAAAAAAACCATTTATATATTTTTGTTATATATTGAACCAAGAAAGAAAATAATACTGCAAGAGTGGAATGAATTTTTTGCCAATGTACCAAAACCTTTTCTAATAGCAGCTGATTTTAATGCCCATCATGTTTGTTGGGGTTGCGATTTTAATGACACATATGGGAATATTTTATCTGATGCAATAAACCATTGTAATCTTATTTTTCTAAACAGCGGATCTCAAACATTAGTTCCCTTAAGTAGTAAAAGCGCAATTGACTTAACTCTGTGCTCTCAAGATATTGTACAATTTTTTACATGGACAACAATAGAGGACCCACATGGATCAAATCACCTACCCATATTGATAACACTCAATGTTAAAGATGATCATGATTTAGCTGAACCATCGAAGCACAGTATATGTCAGTTAAAAAACGCAAATTGGAATATATATGTACCTAATCTTGAACACAGAGATATAGCTCAAAATTATGATGAACTCCTTTCTATGATTATTGAAGAAAATTTTCAGGTCGGACTAGGCACCGCAATCACTGTCCGAAGCCTTGGTGGAATGAAACATGTAAAAATGCTGCTCATCAAAGAAAATTAGCTTTTGCCAAGTATAAGAGAACTCCAAATAGAGAAAATTGAATTGAATTCAAAAAAATGGATGCTTGCGCCAAACGCACATTCAAATTTACAAAAAGGCAAAAATGGTTGAGTACTGTACAAGCTTAAACAGCCATACCCCAATTTCACAAATTTGGAAAAAGGTAACAATTATAAAAATCGAAAAGTCTAAAATAGATTACCAATAGGCCCAAATTCAAACTGGATAGAAGAATTTCATATCAAAATTTCACCGACATGGGTACCAACCAACCGGGATGAATGTGATTTCTGGGATGAATGTGAGTACCAAGGAATACGACCTATCTTAGCGAAAGATTTTTGATGTGGGAACTGGAACGATCTATCAAACATACCAACAATAATTCTCCTGAATATTTTATATTCCATGCTTTATAACTTAACCAATAAATCAGAAAAAATCTCTCTGAAGTATATTCAATGCAATATGGACAGGACAAACATCGATCCCTGAAACTTGGAAGGAGTATATTATCATCCCAATAAAAAAACACGATAAACCGGATTCTATTCCAACCTCTTATAGGCCCATATCATTAGCTTCATGTATGATGAAAACCTTCGAGAGACTTATCAAAAATCGTCTTGAGCAATGGTTAGAGAAAGAACATATTCTACCTGATATACAATATGGCTTCAGAAAATCTAAGTCAACATTGGAAGCATTAACAGTAATTGTAACAGATATTTTAGCTGAATTTACTAGTAACCTCATGACTATGGCAGGTTTCAACGATGTTACAGGTGCATTTGATAACGTTAACCTAGATGTTTTAAACCAATAAATTGATTTCGATTGGATTTAATACGCAATTAGCGAACTTTATAACTTCGCTGTATACAAACAGGAATATACATATAAAAATAAATCAAGTAACCACTAGACCTAGAACTACGAACCTAGGATTCCCCAAGGCAGTATTTTAAGTCCAGTTTTGTTTTTATTATATACAATGGATGTCAGTGTTAAACTTCAAAACATACGAACAATACAATTTGTAGATGATATTGTTTTTTTGTACAAGGAAAAACTTTGAAACTTGTGAATATGAATTAAATAAAACTTATGACATCTTCAACGAGTGGCTGAATGAAAATTATTTTACACTTTCTGAACACAAAACAGAGGTGTGTCTATTTAGCCGAAAACGAAACATTGAACAGGATCATGTAAAACTGGGACCTTATAATTTCCAAATAAAAAATGTTGTGAGATACTTAGGATTATATCTAGACCGGAAACTGTTATGGAAAGATTGTATCCATCAAATAACAAAAAAGTCTGAAAATACTATTAACATACTGAGAGCCTTTTGTTATACAAAATGGGGGGCTAACCTAAATACCGCCTTGTTATTTTATAGAACCATGATAAGATCAATTCTGGATTATGATAGTCATTTATATGGATCAGCGGCACAAATTCATTTAGACAAAATGAAACCCAAAAAAACAAAAGTCTAAGAATATGTCTTGGATATCTCAAGTCAACCCCAATAAATATTATGGAAGCAGAAGCTGTAGAACCACCGTTACAACTAAGAAGGCAACTAATTAGTAACAAGTTTATCACAAAAGCATTTGCTAAATCCGCAAATTATATAATTCCTATCCATTAACTGTTAATTTCAGAACTCACACAGTCTTATTGGCTAAAAAAGAAAACTCCGCTAATTTGTGAAATTATACCACTCTTTCCCAATTCAGATCGGTACTGTACACATCAAAAACCCAACCAATATTTTCAGAACATCCGCATGTCCCTTTTTCTAAAAAAATTAAGACGTTTCAGATTGACAAAAACGACCACTTCCTCGAAACGGTTAATCAACGATGGCCTGACTATTATCAGATTTACACCGATGGATCAAAACAAATTCGTACAGGTGCCACTTTTTACGATTACACCTCAAAATATCATGAAGAGTTTAGATTACTAGATGATATATACAGCAACGATATATACAGCAGAAATGTTTGCAATAAGTGAAGCTCTAAAATATATACTTAGGACGTATAGACTCAAAAGTATTATATTTACAGATTTCAAAAGTGTCATAAAGAGACTGAAAGATATAAGTGCGGCCAAGAACTTAAGTCATCTAGAAGTAGAAATACTACAGACCAATCACGAAATACTTAGCTCGCAACGGGAGGTGCTACTAGTTTGGAACAAAGGACATTCGGGTATTCAAGGAAACGACATTGCTGATAAGTTTGCAAAATCCGCCTCAGACTTACACAGAGATTCTGTTAACCAGTGTATTCCATATACAGATTTGAATTCCAAACTTAAGACTAAATGACAAGAACTATATGACAGCAAACAAATAGGATTAAACGTGTCCGGACATGTCATTAATAAAATTTCGGCCCAGTATCGTGCTACGTCGGTTACATCTTAGTTGGCGAGCCACAAATCTTCAAGGTTACATCGATGAGGACAGTTTCTGCACGTAAGAAGATGTTCCATATTCTGTGTTTCTCCACAGTCACAGTTCACATCATCTTGGTTTATTTTTCCCCATTTTGCCATGTTTGATTTTACTGTAGCAACCCCCGTTCTTATCCTATTCAAGATTTTCCACGTTTTAAAGTCTAGGGCCTGGCCGGTCCATTGAACCTGGGGAAGTGGAAAATACTCAGGCGGTTCAACCTGCACTGTTCCAAGGAAGCTTTTCCTAGATTTTAGTCGCTTTCGTGGTGTTCGAGCTTTGTATAGGGCATGCCGATCGTCCGCGATCTGTTTAATTTTCTCTATATGTTCTGCAGCGCCTCAGCGTGTTGAGGGTTTTGCAAAACCCGCTGCTCTATATAGATTTGAAAGTGGCGTTGGTTTCATGCACCCCGTTACTATCCTGCACGTCTCATTTAGCGCAGTATCAACTTGTTTGGTGTGGGCAGATCTGCTCCAAACGGGGCACGCATATTCAGCAGTTGAGAAACACAGTGCCCGTGCCGTTGTTCTTAAAACGCAAGGACGTGCGCCCCATTTACTTCCCGTTAGCTTTCTGAGTATGCTGTTCCTAGTTGTTACTTTCCCTCTTGTTTTTATGCAATGTTGTCTGTAGGTGAGGGACCGGTGCAGAGTTACTCCAAGATATATAGGTTGGTTTGTGTGTTCTAATGCATTACCATTCCACACAATTTGGAGTTTTCGCTTGGCTTCCTTTGTGCGAAGGTGGAAAGCGCAGACTTGGGTTTTAAAAGGGATTGGGTCTCAGAGAATTCTGCAGGTAGTACGCTGACATTGTTTTTAAGGCAGTTTCGAGTTTCTCCTCCACTTCTTCAAAACTATTTCCTTGAGCACATATTGCAAGATCGATTTAAGTAAACACTATTGACGGCGTCCCCTGGAAACGTCTACTAGTAGACGGCTAATCCTTCCAACACCGGACCAAACCAAATCTAAATATAAAAAAGTATTTATCTAGTCTGCTTATAGTAAGTCATTTTTTATCATCCTTGTAAAAATATAATTAGCGTATATTTTCTTAAAACAATGAACTAGTATCAGACAAAAAAGGAATAGCAGACGAGTTTGATAAAGTTTATCAATCCAACTCAAGTTATGAAAACCTAAAACCAAAATTTCTTCAACCAAAAATATTCTTAAGCCATATAGTATCCCTAATCAAGGTTCCGAACTAATGCCAGAAATAAAGGTAGATGAGATTCGACAAGCGTTAAGAAAAATGAAAAATAACAAAGCCCAGGAGAGGATGGAATTGTAATAGAAGCTATCGTAAACGTAGGAGAAATGCTATTAAATCAGTTAACGAAATTGTTTTATCTATGTTTGCAGCAAAGAGAGGTGCCCAAAGAATGGAACAATGCTATAACCATCCTTTTACATAAAAAAGGAGATAGAACGGACCTAGAGAATTATATACCTATTATCCAGTTGAGCCACATATACAAGCTCTTCACTAGGTTAGTGACATCAAGATTGGAGAAAAAATTAGATTTCTGCCAACCGAAAGAGCAGGCAGGATTTCAATTAAATTATGGTACCAATGATCACCTCCATACAGTAAAGACGCTCATTGAAAAATTTATAGAATACAACAAACCTCTTGTCCTCACTTTATATATTTTCATAAAGCGTTCGACACGATCGAGATAGACAGCCTTATAGAAGCAATGAATGACGGCAGGATTGACCATAGGTGTAGTGAACTTATTTACAATATTTACAAAAATGCCACTATGACTGTTACGATACCTACACGATAAAATCCGACCAATAAAAATAAAACGTGGAATAAGGTAAGGAGATACATTGTCACCGAAATTATTCATAACGGCATTAGAGTATGTCTTTAAGAAGGTCAATTGGGACCACAGAGGAGTAACAATAGACGGCGAAAAACGTAACCATCTCCGTTTCGCGGATGACATTGTCCTTATAACAGATAATTTAGGGGATATGTTAAATGTATTGGACTTTGCATGTTCGAAGGTGGGCCTCAGAATGAACTTGTCCAAAACTAAGTTTATGACAAATATGGTCCCCAATAACCATTTATTCAAAACAAAGTGGTAGAACTGTTGGAGAAATATACGTATTTGGGTCACGAAATAAGAATCTGCAGGGATAACCAAACATGCGAAATCCAAAGACGAATTACTTTAGCTTGGACAGCCTTCGGAAAACTGCGAGACACACTTAGTGCCAACATACCAATTAGCTTCAAAAGAAAAGTATTTGACCAATGCGTATTACCGGTCATGACCTATGGGGCGAAAACTATGACTAATCAAGACTACAACTTCGAAATTAAGAGTGGCACAGAGACGAATGGAACGGTCTATGCTGGGAGTGGCGTTGCGGGACTAAATAAAAAACGAAGATCTGCGAAGAGTATTGCTGATGTTGTGGAACGCATAGCGGAACTAAAATGGAATTGGGCAGGCCATGTAGCGAGAATGTATGACTCGCAATGGACGAGCCAAATTACACATTGAATGCCAAGAGCAGACAAACGTAGTAGAGGAAGATCACCTGCACGATGGGCTGCCGACATCAGGCGTATCACGAAAAATTGGCAACAAAGAGCACAAAATCGCAAAGAATGGTGGAGTTTAAGGGAGGCCTATGTCCAGCAGTGGACGTGATAAATGCATGCATGATGATGATGAGACACAGTAAGCATAATGAAACAAATGATAATGGACAACGGCTAGTATTGCATTGTAAAAAGAAGGTGGTCCAAAGTACCCAATTTGAAAGTAAATAGATATACAAAGGAACTTAAACGTGACCGGATAGCAAAACAGTCAACGAAATAGACTGTGCTTATAGAAAAAAAAAACATGCCAAACACATCACCAACATAGAAAAGAAAAGGGCGCCCAATGAAAAGATGGTATGACGCTGTATGATGGTATTGACTGGAATAAAAAGGAAACAACAGAGGTGAATGGGGAAGAATAGTAAAGGCATACGTCGGAATCAGACAATAAAAATCAATGAAAATTATCGATGTGAATTATAATGTAAATTGTATGTAATGTGAATAATGCACATTAGACAAATAATGTAATAATATATTATAAAACTGGTCATTCAATACTGGATTCCATTTTTAACTGAAAACAATGGATTTGTAATATTCAGTAAGAGAAAATATCTATTCCAACCCTACCCTTTTAAATGACTATATTATACGAAACCAATTTCTTAGGAATCTACATTGACTCTTCCTTAAAGTGGCAAGCCAGTAATAATAACATAATTCGTTTAATGCATTAAGCTTCTTTCAAATCGAATATGGGGCACATACACAACAAATTTATTAAACCTCTATTAATCACTCTGAAGATACGTCCACTTTAATTCAAATAACGAACAACAATCGATGTAACACTACGTGAATATATCCTATCAGTTGTATGAAGAGGATTTTGAAGAACAAATTTCATATGGAATTGACCAATAACAATGCAACAACTTTATAAGAGAGTTATATCACTGTTTGTTTTTAGTCACTTTTTATTATTATTATTCCAAATTTAGCCATACGGCTTACACTCCCTCTAAGGGGAAAATTCACTCATCCCAGATACCTACGGTATCAAAAGGATTGAGCTCTGGTGGGACTCTTTCCGTGTTATCGAGCCCTAGGTGACTTGGTATGCTGGAGTATCTCCCAAAAATTTTCGTACACATCTGGACGTTGAGAGTAGTAAAGCTTTCTGCATGGTCTTGTAGGGATGTTCATTCAGACCTAGCTTTTTTATGTTTTCTAGGAGGTTCTTTGGAATGACTCCAGTAGTAGAGAGAATAATAGGTATTGTCTGGGTACTTTATTATTATTATCCCAGATTTAGCCATACGGCTCACACTCCCTCTAAGGGAAAATTCACTCATCCCAGATACCTACGGTATCAAAGGGATTTATTTATTTATTTATTATTATTATCAGAGATTTAGCCATACGGCTCACACTCCCTCTAAGGGGAAAATTCACTCATCCCAGATAAAGGATTTATTTATTATTATTATTATTATTATTATTATTATTATATTTTATTATTACAGGTTTTTGAGTCTCCACCTCCTGGTTGTAGACTATGTGTAATTAGTACCAACATTGCTGAAACTTCGCTTACGATTCCCAATATTAAATATGTAGTAGATACCGGAAAAACCAAGGTGAAATTGTATGATAAAGTCACAGGTGTCACTAGTTATGTTATTTCTTGGACAAGTAAAGCATCTGCAAATCAGAGAGCTGGCAGAGCTGGACGAGTGGGTCCTGGACATTGCTACAGGTAATAAATGTTAATTATTAATGACAGAAATTGTTCAATTGAGTAAAGATTTATATATAAAGAGTAATATAATTGGATTTCTACTTAAAAAATACGTTTATCTAACAAAGATCTAACTTTATTGACATAGAATGGGTTTCAACCTACCCTGCGGTCCATATTAGAGGTGTGCTTATTAGTTCTTTTAGACGAACTAGTTCAACAGAACTATTTCACAAAAATGAACTAGTTCACTGAACTAGTTCGCGAAAGAACTATTTGTAGGACTGACATCGAAATCCAACCCTAACAGAACTGGTTGCCAGATGTCTCGTCTCAATCATCACACAAGCTTGGCGCCAGCCGCCCGTTTTCTTTCAGTCTTTCACTAGTTCACTTAGTTCACTACCGTACAAGTAGTTCGGAACTATTTCTTTCGATCGTATGTTTAGGTTTAAATTGTTTAAATTATTATATGATTAGTTAGTTTTTATTTGCAAAAAATTATTAAGATTTGTTTTTTATTAACCGTTTTAAATATAAATATGGTTCAAGTATGATTTATTTTTATATTTACGTATATTTAAACTCATAGGTATTTATAATTAGGTTATTTCTAAAAGAACCTTTACAAAAAAAAAATCAGTGAATTTTCTAGGAACATTAAATAACACATTTTCATTCTCACTTTTACAGAAAATTATATTTTATGTAAATGCCTCAATCATTTTAACCACAACTAAAATTTTTATTTCAAAATTACAATACAAGAAACAACACAGCATGACAACATCCAAGCCAATACATGGGCATAAAATCCGAACCATTATGACATTAAGATAAGACTTAATGTTATTGTCACATTTATAAGAATTATGAATTTGTTATCTGAGGCTAATCGGCATTTTTTTTAAACTAGTTAGTCCATCCATTCACAAAATAATAAATATATGTTCTAATTTATTCATTCATTATTTTCTTCTTTAGAAGTTGACATAATTTATAATGCAAATCGTTCGCAGTGAACTAGTTCTATGAAAATGAATGAACTAGTTCAATTAGTTCAGTTGAAAGAATAGTTCATTAGAACTATTTCGATAGTGAACTACACATCCCTAGTCCATATGTATGGAATAAATGGTTATTATGTACTATGTGAAAAAAAGCTGAAACAGGTCGATTTTTATTCTTAAATTGATAATGTACAGTATGAAAATATTATCCCCATCCAGCACCCCCTTTGAATTATAAGCACCTCCTCGAAAATTTTAAATAACAAAGGGGGTCATGTGGCGCCTTGTTAGAAAGGGATTTTAGTCCTCTGTTTAGCAATATAAAGTTTTTGTTTGAGTTTGTGCAATCATAACTGAAAAAGTTGATTTCTACAATTGAATTAAATGTTCAACTTGACCACCATTATTCACTTCTTGACAATAACCGAGGCAATTTTGGAATTCTCGTACATTTTGTATGACCTTCGGGGTTATTTTTTGTTAATTTCTTCCGTTATCCTAACTTTTAAATCAGCAATATTGTCTGGTTTATTAAAATATACTTTAGAAATAATCAGGTATTGTCGTATCTGTTCTGCTAAACATTAGGAAAAAAACTTTGAAGATAATAAAATATTAATCAAAAAGCCAAATAAACAATTGATATGAATCTAGTAGGCTACTGCTATTTAGGTATTTAAAGTTACTAGAAGGTGTCAGTATAGCATTTGTGCGCGTATTAAATTGTATTACGGCTCATTTGTCCAAGACTAAAACAATAAACATTTTAATTATGATTGGTTGTGGTAATAAAACAAGAACTCAAAAGGAGGTTTGTGCAATGTTTAATAATAAATACCCTGGTCAACAAGTTTCGCAGTCTACAGTTAGCAAAATTGAAAAGAAGTTTCGTTATACTGGTCGTGTAAAAAATATTAAAAAACCAGGTAGAAATGTAAATTTACTGATGAAAAAAAATAGATGTACTTCTAGAGATTGAGGAAAACCGCATAAAACAACTCGAGAAGTTGCTACTATAACTGATCTATTTTTAGAGTTTTGCATAAAGAAAAATAACACCCTTACAAAGTTCAGTTGGTTCAGGAGTTAAATGAAGATGATCCTGATAGAAGGCAAGAATTCTGTGAAATAATGATGGACAGAATAAACACAGATTTGCAGTTCATAAACAAAATAGTTTTTTCTGATGAAGCGACGTTTCATTTAAATGGAACGGTTAACAAACAGAACTGTAGATATTGTAGCAAAGAAAATCATCACTGGTGTGTGAGACTTACACGCAATATCCTAAAAAAGTTAATGTTTGGGCTGGTATCATTAACAATAAAATTATTGGTCCTTATTTGTTTAAAGGCACAGTTGATGGTAAGGTTTATCTAGATTTTTTTATTAACTTTTTAGTGCCTACATCAGGAAAAGATTTTTTTTTTTTGATATTAATCATTCAAATGAGATGCCGTCGAAAGGTTACCTTTAGCGTTGTAGTGAACAAAGGACTCTAAAATTCTAGTTCTGATTGTCTAAAGGGTACGCATATGCAAATTTACTAATCAATTTTTAAAAGTTTTTTGATGTTTTCGAACCACTGTGCGGCAGTACGTTGAGTCAGAACTGACAAGCCTTAAGTCCGTCACACGGTTAAATATTTGGCTGACGTAATGGCGTCATAATTACAGTTTGTTTAAATTTTAAAAACCTATCTTTTACACGATCATTCAAATTTGATCAAATTTTTATTGACCGTTGTCTATATCGAGTTATGCCAATGAAACTAACTGTCTCTTGCTTATTTATTAGTTTTTTTGTGCTTTATTTAGGATTCAAATTTTTCTTATCCACAATGAAAATAAAAAGACAAAGGATTTTTATAATAACGTGGATGCACATTTAATAACAGCTTCAACCTGTCAACCAAAGAAAAATAAATTTCATCACGTTATGTCTAACTGCTGATTGTCATTTGTCTTTAACGTTTGATCAAACTGACCTTGAAAATAGAAGAATATGACGTCATATGCTGTCAATCTTTTTATTTGCTCAAATATTTGACCGTGTGCCACGGACTTAACTATCGGACAGATGGAATGCAGCTATAAATAAGTCAAATTTTACTTGGGATACACCATCTAGCAAAAAGACAAACGAGGGAATCTAATCGTGTGAAAAGGAGACCAACATTATAAAAATGGCTTCTTAATTGGCGGACATATCCGGAAATGCAAAGTCGCCAATTTTAAATTTTCCGATACTTATTAACAGTAGCTATAAAATATTTTTCAGAATGTGTCTTAGACGAGAAAGTTTTAATTAAATATTAACGATAATAGTCTAAAATGTGACACAATTATTAAAAAACTTCAATATAAATAAGATTTCACGTGACAGTTGGGACAAACAATAACATAACCCAACTAAATTTGATTTCTTAAACAAGGAAAGAGACTCTCTTTCCTTGTTTAATGTGGCCTCTCAAAATGGCACTTACCGTCTAACAATATTTTTGCCCCCCACTATCTCTAAATTCCCTCTTCTGTCTTTTTGCTCGATGGTATAAACATTTATCTATTTTTGGGTTCGTACATTTTATCACCACGTTATTCTCATAAGATCTACAAATACATATTATTTTTGAATTTTAGGTTATATTCTAGTGCCGTTTTCAACGACGAATTTCGAGAATATTCAGTTCCTGAAATTCAAGAAAAACCTGTAGACGATTTGTACCTTCAGATGAAATGTTTGAATATAGACAAGATTATAAACTTCCCCTTTCCCACTGCGCCTAATTTATTGCAATTAAAAACAGCGGAATCTAGACTGGAAACCTTAGGTGCACTCAATAAAGGAACGGTGACCCCGCTGGGACGGGCGATCTCCAAATTTCCTGTCTTGCCAAGATTCGGCAAAATGTTGGCTCTTAGTCATCAACAGAATTTGTTACCGTATACTATTTGTTTAGTTGCTGCTTTGTCTGTACAAGAAGTATTATTGGAGGTAGGTTTTAGTTTATCTTCATATCTCACATCTTGTCTTATACGTATCTTAATGCAATTTACTGTTTTTATTGGGGATAAGCCACACATTTACTTTAAAATAAGTTTATTTGACATTTCCATTTCCACTTCGGAAATCGTTCTCAAAATACAAAACATTATTAAATTAAACAAATTTTTGTTTTTGTTTATTGGTAAAAAATTCTTCTAATAATCTGACTCATTCATATTGACAATTCTTGACTTGAAATATTGACGTTCATATTGTCAATATTTTTGAATTGCGTTCATGTTATGTTACTATCGGAAAAACTTAAAACCATAGGAAATAAATTAAACATTTCAACACCATTCAAAATACCGAACACATTGAGATATAGTTTATCTAAAACTAAAACTAACAATGAACGCGAAAGAAAAAAGAATTGTATTTATAAAATACCTTGTGAATACGAACATTTTTATTTAGGTGAAACATCAAGATCATCAAATGTTAGAATAAGTAAAATCAATCTTACATCAAAAATAGAGAATTTGATATACCTCAAATATGCACATACGCTTGGAAACATGAACATAGAATTCATTTAAAAGATTCGGGTATGGTCCTGAAAGAAACAGATGGTAAAAGAAAAAAATCAAAGAAGCGGCTCTAATCATGCTAAATAAAAAAGTAATCTAAATAATGATAATCGGAGGTTTCCACGGCCAGAGTAAAAATCATGAAGATAGACGAACGTGTATAGGTTCATCTCGACGTTCCGCTAAATTTTTATATAGATTATAAGTTAGATAATAACAAAATGTTTCTAAACACTTCCAAATGTCATGTTTTTACTATCACTCGAAAAACCCAATACATGGAGAACCAATACAAAATTTCTAGCACTGTACTTGGAAGAAAGAACACTTGCAAATATCTTGGAGTAATGTTTCAGCAAAATTTGAGATTTAATGAACATTATCGGATCATCATTGGAAAGGCATACAGAATTCTTGCCTTCATAATTCGTAATTCAAGATAAGATTTGAAACTCTAATACGAGCCCTAACACTATATGTTGGAACAGGAAGTTATTTTGCGAATTTAGTGCCAATTTACCGAAATTATTTTATTTAATGTTTTTAAATTGTAAATATGAAATTAACAACATTTTTATGATGTATGGTATTATTTTTGCGGCTTAATTATATTTTTGTATTGAATACTATGTAATTAATTGTTTAATAATCGAAAACTGCTGACAACTAAATATTGGAACATTTTTTTGCTTTTCCTCTCGTTTCTTAAATTTTATCAGCTTGACAAAAATAATGCTTTGAAATCAAATATACGAGTAGGTAGTGCCTTGGTTGCCATGGCTTATTCGAGTATGAATAAAGACAACTGTCAGTTTTATTACGAGTAAAATATAATAATGGAACGTGGTAACCCTACTGATCCAAAAATTCGAGAAATTATTATTTATCAGTATAATGAAGGGAATGCAATGTGTGAAATTTCCAATGAATTGACTGTAGCAACAACTACGGTGTTTAATATAATTAATAAATATGGTGAAACTGCCAGTATTAATGTTTACAGAAAAAGCTCAGACCCTCCAAAAGCTGTTTTTCAAATGAGTGTAAATCATTTAATTTGAATATGTAAGTCGGTAAGAAGAAATACACTACGAGAAGTAACCGTTAGAAGGAATAGAGAAACTGGGATGACTGTTTTCAGAGAATCCTGTTGCAAATATATCCACAAAAGCGCTCTTAGTTTTTATAAGGTATGTTTGATAGGTTCTTCTTTGCAATATAATTTTTTTTATTTATTTGAGTCGGCCAAAGAAAAACCATTGCTGACGGAAACTCAAAGAAGAAATCGTTATATTCGTTAGATGGACCAAACATAACTGGGAAAAAGTTATCTATAGCGACGAAAGCAAATATTTGATGTCTGTGTGGAAGATTATCTAAAGCGTGTGATTCGGCAAAAAGTGTAATTCGAGAAGCATTCCCTAAGGATTTTCTCTAAATAACTGTAAAGTTTCCACAGGGCATCATCGTTGGGTTGTATGTTGGCAAAAGAGTTGGGAACATTACATTTTATTGAGGTCGTAGTAAACGCAGCTAAATATCAATATATTCTTGAATATTGGCATCTTCCAAGTGTTTCATAGTTATATCCATTCGGAGATTTTATCTTTTGATATGACGGAGCCTCATGCCATACGGCTAAATCTACCAAATATGGTTGGGATAACATGACATTAAAGTTTTGTCACATCCTTCTAGCAGCCCGAATCTTAATCCAATAAAGGCACTTTGACACAAAATGAAACAACGCCTAAGAAATAACCCTGCCACAACTACGTGCTAAATTACAAGAAATATGAGATAATTTGACCCCTGAATTTGGTAAAGACCTAGTAGGTACAATCCCCTAATAGAGTTCAGGCTGTTGTCAATCTAAGGGCGACGTTACAAATTATTAATATTTATTTTAATATGTTAAAATCCTCTTGTTCCAACATTTAGTTGTCAACATATTTTGAGTATCAAACAACTAATTAAATAGTAATCAACAAAAATTACATAATTAAACCGTAAAAATAATTTCGTATCATAAAAAATGATATTTTATTTGCAAAATAACTGCTTGTTCCAATATATAGTTGTTAGGGCTCGTATCATTATACAATGCACTGGTAATAAATACCTCACTTGGCGTATGCCTCTATTATATGGGTACCACAAGCCGAATTCAATGTTGATCTGATTGAAAAGGTTCAAAAAACGATTCTTGAGGTTTCTTTGTGTCAGAAAGTTGGGTTTCTATCCATACATGTTTTCCTGTAATACTATGTTAACTTGTTTTAAAATTTAGCGACTGGATAATAGAACAAATTTTCATTCAGCCCTTTTTATTTACTATGTTGTAAAACACATTAAATATAAAGATTGCTTTTTATAAATAATATTAAATTTAATGTTCCAAGAATACATCTAAAAATTAATAACAAATGACTGTTCTTAACTAATAAGACTCATTGTTCACCCATAAATATGATGTTAGAAGAATGTAACCATGTGATAATTAACTGTAATATAGACTTTTTAAATTCTTCTATGAAACAAATAAAAGTTGCTTTTGAAACAAATTTCGAATGTGCAAAAGTTGTCTTAAGATTTAATTTAGATGTATAGTGTTTTTTACTTGTTTTATTCTGTCTAGGTTTAGTTTTTAATATAGTTATTAGTTTTTAGCAGTACTAAGCACTCTTTTAATGTAATAACAATCATTTTGTGTTTTAAAGGAGGTTAAATAAATAAATAAATAAATTATTCATATTACTCTTATATGCTACATTGTAACATATCGACAAAACATATTTATGTGTCAAATACGCCTATGTACTATCTTTTCCTTCATTGCAAATCTTTTTCGTCATAAATCTCTCAAATTTATTATCTCGACCTTTCTTCAGTTCAGAAACCTTTTTTGTATATATTTTAAGGCCGATCCTCGCGATTCTGGGCATAGGTAAATTCCAATGTAAAAGTTAATATCAAATAACGCAAAAACTATGGCAGATATTGAGATGATTCTTTTTTTATATGGAAGGTCTAAAAAAGTTCTAGTGCACTATTTGGTTGTAAATTAATAAATTGTTTAAACAATATGTTTTTTTTTCAAATATTTTTGGTTAAAATAAACGTAAAATTTTTTTTTTTTTTGAAATAGGGCACTACAGAATTTGACCCACTTTCCGAATCTGTTTTTATTTTTAACATTAAGTGTAACACAAAGCAGCTATTTGATATAAACTTTTAAAAAAATTCAAATTTCTGCTAAATGCAATTTTCTATCCGTCAGCACAGGGTGTCCTTGTCGGTAGCTTCTGGATTCTCGTCAGGTAGGTAAAACCCTCGGAGGAGGATAAATAAAGTTGAATAACATTATTAGGGCTTATTTCGACTTTTGACAAACCAGTGTGTTTATTGTATTTAAAATAGGAAATTTTATATAAATAAGCAGTAAGTACCTATAATTTTATTAAATTTTTATATGAATAGAAATATTTTCTGTTGATTTTCCATTTTCCTTCTAAATATTTATACTGTTTTTATAATAATACAATTGTTTCAGTTTTTGCTTATATAATAATAATTTATTATATAGAAACAGCGTAAAGTTTTGGTCAATCATCCAGTGTATTTTTTTTGTATTTCAATCAGAATTATTATTTTCTTTTCTTCTTTACATGAGCTCAGAGTAATAACCAAATATTTTGCAGTATTTGAATATGAAATTTAATTATTTATATTTATTGCTCAGCAACCTACCAATCGTAAAATCAAATACTGCTCAAAGAAACAATGTACAGTCTCGGAACTGGATTGATACTATGAAGACGACTACGGCAAGAAATAAGGACAAGCGAAAAACATCCAAAACTCAGATGAGAATTACTTGGAATACCAGATCACTCAACTCAAGGGACTAAGAAATAACCCAAGTGTTGAAAGAGAAAGAAATAGACATGTGTGCTCTACAGCAAATAAAATATAAAGGAAAAGGTCAATCAAAATTAGGTGAATACATACTAATCTACATTGGAGTAGCAAAAGAAAACAGGGCCAAAGAAGGTGTAGCCTTACTAATACACCAAAGGTATCAAAATTACATCAAAGAGTGTCAATACATATCAGAAAGAATAGTAACATCAAAGATAAGAATGGAGAAGGAAAACCTGAACATTATCGGAGTATACAGCCCAGAAAATAATAAGCCTCAAACAACAAGGGAAGTGCTTTACGACCAATTACGACAAGTAGTAGATTAAGTCAAAGAAAAGATGATAATTCACAGCTAATTTGATTATAATAATTAAGGAACCTCATTTTTTGCCATGTTAAGGAATGGGATTTGTATTTTTTGTTAAAAAATTTGCACAAACATTGTACCTTTACAGGACCCTCTACGAATTTTCAAAAATGCAGTTCAAATGGTGACTAGGAAGAACCTACAAATCCATACCGAACAAGCAATTTCAAACTAATAAAATTTTCTATATCTCCGGAACTACTCAATGGATTTTGATCATTCTTTTTTTAATTTGTATGTAATTTCTACATACATTAGGAATTAGTAATTTGTTTATATATTAATTAATTAATAAATAGTCTAGTTTGTTTAAACAATTCGTGCAAAACAATTTTCTTCCAAAAATCTATTTTTTTTAATACTAGTATCAATAATCATAGAAACAGTCGTGTTTTTTTGCATTAAATTGTCAATAATTAAAAAACAGCTCCAGATTCAAGGCAAGAAACAAGTAGGTTTTTTTCCTAGAGGTCTACAATAACTAAAAAAAGTTGTCAGCGACCTGGATTATTGAGTGTCACGAACATGGTCTATTTTTTGCTTATTTCCCTGGAGTATATATTTGATTAACATCTGTGTAATTTCTTTGTCGCTTCCTTGCTGGTTTTGCACATTGCTATGATAGCAATATCTTCGGTAAATATTGCAATTGTATATTTTCTAGGACAATAATACAACACGTATACAAAAGGTAAAGACACTTCTTTGTGGCAGCCCTGCTGTAATATCTGTCAATTCCATGTATGTTTCTTCCTGTTTAATTCTGAATTATCTTTCCAAGATGCAGGAGTCAATTATTTGAGAGTATCGTTTTGGTAAATGTAGTCTTAGTTTATAGTTATGGCGTCTTTGCCATACTTTATCATATACCTGAGTCACATCCTAAATTATTGATATAAGGTTGAATGCTTGAATAAATGAACTTTAAAAAATGAAGGCAAATTTCGAGCACAAATTTAATAATCAAATCTTGCCCAAGTACTTTCGCTTTCTACAGCATCATCAGGGGCATCTGCGCTTGCTGGATAGCCCAAATATGACGAAGTAAGTCTAAAATGTTAATCACAAAAAACTTTTATCATCTTTATCGAAGTTTATTAATTTTCTTCATTTAAAAAAACTTTTCTTGGCTTATTTCAGATGCCCCTGATGATGCTGTAGAAAGCGAAAGTACTTTTGCAAGATTTGATTATTAAATTTGTGCTCGATGTTTGCCTTAATTTTTCAACGTACATCCTAAAATGTCCATCATATTATCCTTCATGATCCATATTTCACATACATATAAATAGTTATACAGTATATTTCATCATCATCATCATCAATGGCGCTACAACTCTTCGTAAGTCTTTGCCGCGGTTACTATTGCCTGTGCCAGTAATTCCCATTGTCGCACTCCCATTTTCTCTAGATCTAGAAGTATATTTACATATAACAAATTAAATCCTTAGTTGTAAATTTTTGAAATAAGTACTCAGTATACATCTAAGTTTCATTAATGCTCCTCATAAATCTCATAAATCTAAACTTTTGTACTCCGTTGTTTATTGACAATTAGTTGCATAGGGCCGACGTTTACTAACCACAAGCACACGAGTAAGTTATCTTATTTCTTTCATTTGACAATAATAATTGTCTGTTAGATTAGCATTGTAAGAAGTAAATTAGTCTCTTACTGAATGATAATAAACAACACATCAAACTTATTCTGAAACTATTTCTTGTGTCATGGTATATTTTATTAGATTTTGGTGTAATAAATCACAACCTATCAAATTCAATATCAAAAATCAAAATTGGAAATGATAGCGTAATTAAATTATTCCTTCCTTCATGAAATTTTAAAAAGAACTGATTTCTATTACTATCCAGTGCAAGGACAGTTATTTTGTTATTTATATCGAATAGAGAATACTGTTAGTTTGCGGTATGGACCCCAAAAAATATTTTATTCGAAAAGATTGATAAATATATGGAACTGTGGGAAAATATGCTACAAAAATTTCAAGATTTTTATTATAATTTTTATTTGAAACACCTTCTGAAGAAATATTAGACATAATTCTATATTTATATAGTTTCATTTTATCAATTTTAATGATCGTGATACTAATTAGATAAGATTTTTATTATAATTTTTATTTGAAACACCTTCTGAAGAAACATTAGACATAATTCTACATTTATATCGTTTCATTTTATCAATTTTAATGATCGTGATACTAATCAAATTTTTATGATATATAATAATAATCTTTTTTTGATAATTTTTATTTTCCGTAAACTTTAATCTACGTTAAACTTCAGACAGCCAATTTTTCCGTAAAAAAAAATAACAAATAAATTATGTATGTACATTTGTTACATTGTAAATTTATGAATAGATTCTATTACTTTGATCTGTTATTATATTTACTCAAAACGCCACTAAAGAGATTTATGGTCTTATTGTAAGCCAAGACTGCAGGGGTTGTCTCGGTGTATAATCGGCTCGAGTAAAAGGTAAACGCGTTTTTGACCTGTGCTTAAGAGAGATACGAAGTTTAGAATATTACTTTATGACAGATTTGTTTTCGTAAAGAAAGAAATTTTTGAAATAGAGATAGCAAACTGAAATTTACCGTTACAATTTTCGATAATAAGCCTTAATCACCAGCTAATTTAAGTCAAGTTTTATTAAAAATAATGAGTAGACCTGTTTATATCTATTTGACGCCTACTCGTCTCGCCTGTCGATACAAAAAGAAACCAACGAATTGACTCTTCATGTACATAACTGTATCTTCTATTTCAACAAATAAATTTAATAGCCGATCGTAAATATTTTATTGCCTTTGAATATATGGTATATTTGTATGGTACATTTGACTATATTCTATTGACATAATATTAAGATGTATGACAAACGGTACCTTTGTATGTATTATTCAGTGTTGTAACCTTTATATCTTTTGTAATTTTGATTATATTTTGTAGGTTCCAGTCGTGCAAACAAGCCAAGAAAAACAAAAAGAACTTCGGCAGAAATGGTCTTTAACACGACAGAAATGGGCTGGCCGTGCTAATTCCCTTCTGTTAGGCGATAATATGGTGCTATTAAAAGCAGTAGGAGCTGCTGAATATGCCAACAGTGAACAGAATCTGGAAAAGTTCTGTTTTAATAACGGCCTTAGGTATAAAGCGGTGCAAGAAATCCGAAAGTTACGAGTTCAGCTTACAAATGAAATTAAAAAAAATATCCCGGACGCTGATGTTATAGTCGATCCAAAATTAGAACCTCCAACAGATATTCAAGCGAAACTATTAAGGTATTTTAGTATATGAAATTCTTAAATAGACTATAAGTTGTTTATTTTTTGTTATACATTTAAGGTTGTGCCAAATATCATTTGCAAGGGCTTGTCCAAAAATTATTATCTAATTTATAATGAATTCTTTTTAATATAATCGTTTTGCTAAGTCCTCAACGGGGGACTATAGTTCTAACTGGGTCACTAGATTGGTCATATGTTTTGACTAAAATATCCAAAACATCCGTCTTTACTTATTCTTCTTCTTATGTAGACATGACTCTTATCTTTTTTCAATGTGCCTCCAGTAATTTGTCGTTCCATCGTTTTCGTGGTCTTCCTACTACTAGTCTTCCTATTGGGAAACCGTCACGTGCCGTCTTTACTACTCTATTTGTTGCAATTCGGCTTATATGATCGTTCCATTCTACTCTTCTATTTCTTACCCAGTTCTTGATGTTCTCCGCCTTGCATCTACGTCGTATATCTGTAATTCTAGCTCTGTCCTATAGTGTCTTACCATGAATTTTTCCAAGTGTTTTCATCTCTGCTGTTGCTAATGTCCTTTTTATCCTTTCTGTGTCTGATCGTTTTTCTGCCGCGTATGTCATTTTGACTGTTTTGTAAATTCTTTCCCGATATTTTTATTTCTCCATATTGTTGCATTCGGGCAGATAATGTGATGCCTAGATATTTAAACTCCATCACTTGTTCTATTATCTGACCTTCCAGATCCAATTCCGTCTTTACTTAACTTATTGAATTAACATCGCATTACTTTAGTAAAAGTAATACCATTTACGAAGAATATACAAACGCAAATACATATCTCGTCTATTCTATTATATATATATATATATATATATATATATATATATATATATATATATATATATATATATATATATATATATATATAAAATTGATCGAGTTGCCTGTTAATTTCTGTGAAACATACCAGTACGTCGTCTATGTATCTCCACCAATATAAAAACTGTTTAAATACGGGATGTTTTAAAATCTTTGTCTCTAGATGATCCATAAAAATATCTGTGGCAATGGGCTTAGAGGATTGCCCATTATAAGTCCTGCGCTGTTATTTGTATATATTTGATTATTAAAATCAAAGTAGTCCTGGTTTATGCAAACTTCAAGAAGATGTAAAATTTCAGATGTAATTATTGGATTTGTACTATTTTGGTCTAAAATGTTTTTTACTAGAATAAAAGTTTCTGTATTAGAATAAAAGATTTCGAAAAGGCTTTCGACAGTGTCGAACATTGGGCAGTGAAAAGTTCTTTGATTAACAGCCGAATTGACCACAGATATACGGAACTAATAACCAATATATATATATATATATATATATATATATATATATATATATATATATATATATATATATATATATATATATATATATATAAGGAGGCCAAAACAAAAATTAAAGTATATGAAGGAACAAAATCATTACAAATAAGTAGAGGCGTGAGACAGGGTGATACAATATCACCGAAACTTTTCAATCAGGCTCTTGAAGATACTTTTAAAAGATTAGAATGGGAAAAAAAAGGTATAAAAATTTGTGGACAACGCTTGAACCATCTAAGGTACGCTGATGACATCGTATTGATAACCGATAAAAAAGATGAACTATTTGAAATGATGAAAGAACTGGACGTAGAAGCTGGAAAGATAGGCCTTAATATGAATTACAGCAAGACCAAAACTATAACAAATACAGATGAAGACATCACAATGAGAATCGGACAAGATGAAATAGAACAAGTAAAGGATTATATATATATATATATATATATATATATATATATATATATATATATATATATATATATATATGTTATATGCATTGTACCAACCGATGTTCCTTATCACGACGATTCCCAGGGTATCAGGTTTCACTTCCAACAACCTGAGCCGATAAGGATCCTTGCAAATGCAGTACCAGCAGAGTCAGCGGGACCCAAGCTTTTTACACGTTCCCACTGAGTCAGCATTTAGTAATATTATAAAACCGCTTGTCGCTCTTAATTCAGTATTCAGTATATTTTTGTAGTTCATTCATTATATTTTATATTTCATTCATTTTTACCACGTAACTTGTATTTTGTAATTAATAAATTTTTTAAAAAGTCAAAAAAGTGTTTCGTGATATAAAAAGTGGCGCAGTCGCAGTAGGATCTGGAAACGTTGGCAGAACAAGGAGAACCTAACTGACAACGGTGGATTCCAATCCTTTAATCAGAAAAAGAACCAGAAAACTCCAAAAAGCAGTGCCGCCCTAACTTTGCAGACATCTACGGAAGGAACACCAAGTGAAGCCCCTGGTAGATTAGCTGTCGAGAACAAGACGACTAGATGTTTTTGGAACTAATGTAAGTCTAATACTGAATCATCTCGTATATAATTTTTGTTTAATACCATTTATTACCATACACTGTTCGATATTCCAATATAAAATATTCATTTAATTAATAATTTTATGCCGAATTTGAATATTTTTTGATAATTACTTTAATAATTATAAACTTTTGGCGATTATTCTGTAAATCGTCAACTTTTTATTTTCATTTTATTAAACGATTACCTGTGTCGATTATTCTGCTAATCAGACACTGTCTTAGAAAAATATTTTTCCTATATTTTGACTTATTATTTTAATATTTACATTTTCGATTTATTATTTTGATATTTACATTTTCGATTTATTATTTTGATATTTACATTTTGTTTTATTTGATATTTATATTTGAATAATTATTTAGTTAATTATTCCATTATCTTATATTTTTATTTCTATTTCGTTTATTGATTTATTAACCATCATGAATGATAACGGCAACATTTCTCGTCCCGCTTCTCGTAATGAGAACCAGCCTGAAATAGAACCTTATAAATTATCTGAAATATTTTCTATCGTACCCGAATTTGAAGGCGATCAAATATTTTTACACACATTTTTAAATGCTTGTGATTATGCCTACAATATGTCTACGCGCGATCAAAAACAACTATTAGTAATTCACATTAAAAATAAATTACGCGGAAGAGCAGCGCAACTTATAAGTTCAAGAAATCCATTATCGTATCTAGAAATTAAACAGCTTCTTACCTCTCATTTTGGAGACACTAGAGACTTATCTTCTTTGATACAAGATTTACAAAGAGTCAAACAACTTCCAAATGAATCGGCTCTTACATTCCTTAATCGTGTCCAAGTCCTTAATGCAAAAATGCACGCAAATATACAGAAATCTAGCCTCTCTGCTGTAGAAAAACAGGCCCAAATTGTATTAATTGAATCAATGGCGCTCAATACCTTATTGACCGGCCTCGATCCAAAAATCGCTCATATTATTCGTGCTAGTAATCCAAAAGACCTTCTTGAAGCTCAAGTCCGCATCAGACGAGAGTTACAATTATCCTATTTCGAAATACAAAAAATCAATAGATCCAATCCTCCAAAACCCAATCAAAATAATCAACCCATTAGAAGACCAAACCTTCAACTACATAGATGCACATTTTGTGGACGTATGGGCCACTCGTACAATGAATGTCGTTCTCGACAAAATTCCCAAAATAATTCGCATAATTCCAGCAACTCCCATAATTTTAGCAATTCTCGAAATTTTAATAACCATCAAAACTTCAATAATGCTCAAAACAATGGCTTTCAAAGACCAACTTTCAGTTCAAATAATAATTTCCAAAACAATAGACCCAATGACCAACAAAGACCTCAATTCTCACCAAATCAAAATAATTCACAAGTACGCCCTTCTGTAATACATAAGAATCCCAATTTTTCGAACGATAGACACAGAGCTCATTTCGTTAACTATGAGCCTGACTATATTAACGACTATACTTCAGCTTTAAATGAAAGCTACCAATACGAAAATTTCTCTGATAATAATTATTCACCTCCCGATTATTACCAGTCATTTGATCAATCAACCGATTTAATTGATAGCCAAGACTATCAGGATTTTCTCACAATCCCGAATCAGAACCACCCACCAGACAATATCAGTTCAATGAACGAATCTTTATCTCAAATACAAAATCAGATACAAACTCTGAATTTGGACGACATGAACCCATCTCTGAACTTTCCAGAACAGACTTTTCTTTAAGCCCTCTTCTTGCTGTAAACTCTAAAAACCTGTACTATATAAAAGACGCATCAAATACGTTTAAATTACTTATCGATACCGGTGCTGGTATCTCTATCTTCAAAGAAAATACCGTAAAAAATTTCAAACCACGTTTTCCCGAACAAATTACTATACAAGGTATTACAGACCAAAAAATTCTTGTCACTGAATCAACTTTAGTCCCGTTTCAAGTGGGAAATCCCCATAAGGTCTTCATTTATAATTTAGATATTGATTTCGATGGAATCTTAGGCCTCGATTTCTTAGAACATTACGAGTGTACGATAGACCTCAAAAACAAACAACTAATTACAAACTTTAAAATATTACCTCTCCATAAAGTAGAAACTAATTCGCGTAACAATGAACCCCTTAATCAAATTAAAATAGATCCCAGATCCGAACAAATATTCAAGTTAAAATGTCATCTGTCGAATACAGATGCAATTTTGCACAGAAAAGAAAAAGAAAAAGTCCATATTCCCAACGCGTTAGTACACGTAAATGAAAAAGGAGAATTTCTGACATCCATAGTAAACGCAAATGCAATTCCTAAAATTATCGACTTTTCCGATATAGTAATTGAACCCTATTTAAACTACCCTATCCTAAATTTCCAGTTGAACGATAACTTGGAAAATTATTGCTCTGATAAAATTGACCGTACCAACAAAATAAAATCTCGACTTCGAACAGAACATCTTAACGAGGAAGAACAAGAATTAATAACAAATCTTTGCTTAAATTACGAAGACATATTTTACTTAGAAGGAGACAATCTTACTTTCACCAGTGAGATTAAACATCAAATTGAAACTAATAACGCCAAACCCATTT